GAAGGAGGTTTTTTAGGGTTCTCAGAAAATAGATCTCAAAAGGTGATCAGGAGGTGATGTTAGTATTTGAGACAGGGGACATGATTGAAAGGATAGAAGCAATGGAGTATAAGATATGTGTATGAATTGACCCAGGATAGGCATGGCTTGATGGTAGAACATACAGTATAGTTATTGATGTATAGTGAAATGTAAGGATGATTATAGTTTAAACTTAAATTAGCAAAGGCTTTGAATATCAAAGTAATGAATTTGGATCTTATTTTCTAGTCAAGTGGAATAATCAAAYAATTTGTAGCAGGAGAGTGAATTGATCATATTATGTATTTTTGTGGTTGGTTTAGAAATGCAGATCTTAGGATTGGAATTTTTTCTTCTGTAATGACTCAAGATGTATTATTTATTGTTATTTTGAAGGGAAGATTGCTGCACAATCCACAAATAGCTCCAGTCTCTCAATTATATATCAGGAAATTTGATTCATTGAATACTGCAATGACATTACCATGTTATATCAGCAACACTTATTGTGTTATGGGGAGAGTAATAGGTATTGTCATGTATACATAATTTTTATATACGTCCAACAGAAAAATGGCTATGTTGTTGTCATTAGTGAGTTTTCTAGAGATGGGTACTACAAAGTAAAATGCTCCTCCTCTTGTAGCAGTTAAACTTAGTTTTGTTGTGTTAAGCAATATTCTACCATATTTTCTCATATTTATAATAAGTAATTCATTATTATTTAGGTGATTAGGTCCTATTTAATGAGGCTTTATCTCATTATATTTTAAAAGTGGAGCATCAAAATAATCAGAAACTTGGGTACATGCTTCAAAGGTAATTTTGTTTTTTATTTGAACATTTTAATTATACATAGTATTTGTGTTCCTTTTGACAAAATCATGCATAAAAGAATTTGATTTCAATCCCCATTCCCCTCCACTTTGTTCTCTTCTTTACTGATCTCATTTTTACCCATTTACTTATTTATGTATGCATTTATTTTTTTGATGGTGCTGGGAATTGAACCCAGGGCCTTGTGTATGCAAGGCAAGCACTCTACCAACTGAGCTATATCCCCAGCCCTCTATTTATGTATTTTCGATTGGTACTTCATACATACACATAAAGGATATATTCCCTTTAGTACATTCATATGTGTAGGTAACATGATTCATTAGATCCATTTTATAACATCAGATCTATTCCTTATTACTTTCCCTTCTTTCTTTCCTCCCTCTCATCCTCCTACTTATACTCCACATCCTTATGCTATTCAATTCCCTCTTCCACTGCCTTCTTTCCCTTATTTTGCTTGGGCTTCCACATATGAGAGAACACATTTCACTTTTGTTTTCCTGAGTCTGGCTTACTTCACTTATTCTCCATTCCTATCTATTTACTGGCAGATGCCATATTTAGGCTGAGTAAAATTTCATTATATTTATATATCACATTTTCTTGATTGCTTTATCTGTTGATAGGCATCTGGGCAGATTCCATTATTTGGCTATTGTGAATTGTGCCGCTATAAACATTGTAGTGGCTTATAATGTTGTTTTATAATACCAAGGCAGCTAGTAAAGAAGGCAGATCAGACAGGATTTATTGGCAGTATTACTACCTAATACATAATTTCACTCATATTATTTTTTAGAAATTTTATTTTTTCCTCCATTTTCTATTGTAATATACATTAGGGACAAACATTAAATCTTTAATTTGAAGAGATTTTATAGAATGGGAAAAAATCTGTTAACCTGCACCTCAGATAGAACATTAATCTCCAGGATATACAAAGAACTCAAAATCTTAATACCAAAAAAAAAATCCTACAAATATTCCAATCAATAAATGGATACAGTAACTGAACATGTTCTTCACAGAAGAAGAAATACAAATGATCAACAAATATAAGAAAAAATGTTCAACATCTCTGGCTTTTAAAGAAATGCATATTAAAACTACACTGAGTTTCCATCGCACTCCAGTCAGAATGGCCATTATAAAGAATATAATTAACAATAAACGTGGGCAAGGGTGTGGGTGTGTGTGTGTGKGGGGGTTTACTCATACATTTCTGGTGGAACTGCAAATTGGTGTGACCAATCTGGAAAGCAATATGGAGATTTCTCAGAAAACTTGGAACAGAACAACTGTTTGACCCAGTTATCCCATTCCTTGGTATATACCCATGTTAAAATCAGCATACAACAGTGACACAATTTTTATAGCAGCTCCATTCACAATAGCTTAACTATGGAAGCAACTTAGATGCCCATAAACAGGTGACTGGGTTTAAGAAAATGTGGCATATTATAAACAATGAAATATTACTCAGATATTTTGCCATTCACCAGTTAAGTTGATTTATTTAGTGACTATCATGCTAAGTGAATTAAGTCAATCCCTCAAAACCAAAAGCCAAATAAATGTTTTCTCTGATATGTGGATGCTAATACACAATAAGAGAGTTTTGTAGGGAAGAATAGATAAACCCCTATCTCTCACCATGCACAAAACTCAACTCAAAGTGGATCAAGGACCTAGAGACCCTGCCTCTAATAGAAGAAAAAGTTGGCCCCAATCTCTGTCATATCAGATTAGGCCCCTACTTCCTTAAGAAGTCTCCTATAGCACAAGAATTAAACTCAAGAATTAATAAATGGGATGGATTCAAAATAAAAAGCTTCTTCTCAGCAAAAGAAACAATCATTGAGGTGAATAGAGAGCCTACAGCTTGGGAGCAAATTTTTACCAGTTGCACATCAGATAGAGCATTAATCTCTAGGGTAAATGAAGAACTCAAAAAGCTAAACACCAAAATAACAAATAAGCCAATCAATAAATGGGCCAAGGAACTGAACAGGCACTTCTTAGAAGGTGATATACAATCAATCAACAAATATACGAAAAATGTTCAACATCTCCAGCAATTAGAGAAGTGCAAATCAAAACTATTATATAAGATTTCATCTTATTTTAGTCAGAATGGCATCTATCAAGAACACAAAAACAATAAGTGTTGGCGAGGATGTGGGGGAAGGCACACTTATACACTGCTGGTGGGACTGCAAAATAGTGCAGCCAATATGGAAAGCAATATGGAGATTCCTTGGAAAACTTGGAATAGAACTACCATTTAACCCAGTGATTCCACTCCTTGGTGTATACCCAAAGGACTTAAAAACAGTATACTATATGGACATAGCCACATCAATGTTTATTGCAGCACAATTCACAATAGCAGAACCATGAAACCAACATAGATGCCTGTCAGTAGATGAATGGATAAAGAAAATGGGGTATACATACACAATGGAATATCACTCAGCAATAAAAGAGAATAAAACCATGACATTTGCAGGAAAATGAATGGAGTTAGAGAATATAATGCTAAGTGAAGTGAGCTAATCCCCCCAAACCAAATGTCAAATGTTTTCTCTGATATAAGGAGGCTGATTCATAGTGGGGTTTGAGGGGAAGCATGGGAAGATTAGAGGAACTCTAGATAGGGCAAAGGGGATGCAGGGGAATGGAGGGGGAGTGGGGTGTAAAAAAGATGGTGGAATGAGATGGACATCATTACCCCTAAGTACACGTATGAAGACATGAATGGTGTGAATATACTTTGTATGCAACTAGAGATATGAAAAAGTGTGTTCTATATGTGTAATATGAATTGTAGTGCATCCTGCTGTCATATATAACAAATTAGAATAAAAAATAAAATTAAAAAAAATGCCTAATGAAAAAGAAGAAGTTCACTGGATTTAACAGAGGGGAATGAAGGGAAGAAGGAGGGATGAGAATAGGAAAGATAATAGAAAGAATTGGATATAACTTTTTATGTTCATATGTGAATCAGTGTAACTCCATATAATGTACAATCACAAGAATGTGATCCTAATTAGAATAAGTTATACTTCATATATGTATAATATGTCAAAATATACTCTACTGTCAGTATATCTAAAAAGAACAAATGAAAAAACAGAATTTTTATTTTAAATGAGAACATATTTTAAACCTGTTATCTATAGTTAAGGGACTGTGAATTGATGAGTTAAAAAAAAAAGGAACTTTACTTTGAAGTGAAAAGTAAATTTTTACATTGCATTTGAGTGAAGAACAAAGGTCTGATTCCAATAGTACAGTTTCATTTATTATAATATTGAAATATGTAAGCATTTTTATGTGGAAAATATAAAAAATAACTTCCATAGCTAAATATATACAAATTTTTTGGCTCATGTCTCATAATTTACAGTTTATATTCAGGTTTAAGTTTGAATGACTCACTAGAGTCATAATAAAACTTGAACTTTCCTTGAAATGAAGTGAGGATAAGAAAATAAGTAGCACCACTATCTAATGCCAGGCACATGGAAAGCCCAAAACAAATTGTTTATTATTTTAGTTTTTTTCTCTGCTCTAAAATTTAAGAATTTTACTATGTTACTTTTAAAGGAGTATTTACTTWAAAAAATTTTTTTTTCAGAGTACTTTATGTAGTAGAAAACTGCCTGAGGTTAGTCTGACATATTTGATCTGCAGTGTTTTAAAGTATTTGAATTAAATTTTAAAATTAGGTGATTTTATGTAAAAATTCTGATTTCATATTTTCTCTTGAAAAATATGGGAGAACTGGCAATAATGTACAATGACTGACTTGAACAGGGGCCACTTTTACATCCCTTTTCTCTCTGGATTGAGTAGGTCCCCATCTAATCCACTTATGTGCATATCTGGTTACTTTCCACAAGAACGTGAGTTGTGAACATTTGGTTTAACCTCAACATTAATATTAGAGTAAGGTAGTTTGTGTCATGTTAGTTAAATGATTTTCTTAATAACAAAAAGATAATTAGTGTCAGTCAGCATTTTAATTTAATAAATCAATAATTGTTTATTATTATAGATTTTTATCTGCTCTAAAATTTCAGAATTTTACTGTGTTACCTTTAAAGGAGTATTTACTTAAATTTTTTTTTCAGAGTACTTTCAAGTTTAAATCAGAGAGTGATATTCATTTGGCAGAACACCATAAACAGGTTTTATATGATGGAAAACTTGCAAGTAGTATTGCCTTTACATATAATGCTAAGGCTACTGATGCTCAGCTATGCCTGGAATCATCACCAAAGGAAAATGCATCAATTTTTGTGCATTCCCCACATGCTCTAATGCTCCAGGTGGGTRAATGGTAGCTTAGTTTTCATGTTCTTATCACCATTGATGGTATCTTTATACATTAAACATTGCTTATCTATAAACCTACCATTTCTGTTTCTGTTTTCAGATTCTGTACTTTTTTCTTGTTTTTGACAAAATACTTTACCTTGATCTTGTCTCCTTACTTTGAAATCTGTTCTGTTATCTTGAATCTCTGTGTCCTATGAAATAATATCTATTGATTACCTGAACGTATATTTGTTAGATATCAAATTATACTTTAAGAATGTATTACTCTCTAGCATAAAATTTACCTGAATGTCTTTAACTCCATTAGCAATATCTGTTATTCTAAAATAATATTTGATTTTAACTTTATGTTTTCAGTGTAAATATCTCTCAACATAAGATTTCACATTTAAAAATGATTAGCAAAAGTATCTCAAATTTCTTATTTATTTGAGTATCAAAACTATATAATTGAGGGTTCTTAAAATGTCAAACTTTGTTGTTTAATTCTCTTTTAAAGAATGTTATTTGGAAGAAAGAAACAGTGATGAAAAGTATGCCATAGAAGTTTAATAAACATTTTTGTTTTTGAATGTAGGATGTGAAAGCAATAGTAACACATTCAATTCATAGTGCAATTCATTCAATTGGAGGGATTCAAGTCCTTTTTCCACTTTTTGCCCAACTGGATAATCGGCAGSTCAATGACAGTCAAGTGGAAACAACTGTCTGGTAAGTTTTCTGTGTACAGTTGCCGGTATGTTTTACATACTTAGATTTACATTGTATCCTCATTGCATTGTATACTCAGATTTTGTCTTTGACATAGTAGTAAAAATTTGTTTAGAATTAAGGCAGATATCTATTTACACAATATAAAAATATGTAACAGATTCTGATTACCATAAAGGAATATCTTCTCTGAGGGTAAAAAAAAAATTCTTATTAGGTGTAGCATAATAATTATTAGTTATGATGAGGAAAATTCTCACCTCTAAYCTCATGCATTGTACATGCTCAGAGTTTTCCTTCTCAGTTTTTAGAAAATTGCTAAGACCAAGTTTATTCCTCAAAATACTATTTTATACTAATTTATAAGTTATTACATAATTTATATCTTATATTTTATAATGCTGTTATCATTACCTAAAATTAGTACAGTGTTAATTGACATTAGATTTTCTTCAATTATCTTCATTTTTTTCTAGTCATTTTATTCTTTTTAAAAATTTTTTATATATCTTCATTTTTGAGGACTCAGATATAGCTAGTGTCATGTGTTTTTATATAAAAATGAGATATTTTAATGAGGTTGAGAATCTCTTATTTTTATGAAAAGTACCTTTTCCATTAAATTCTAATTTAATGTCATATGTTAGAATTTATGTATATATATGACATTAAATATAAATTATGACAGTGATTTTGACTATTTACAATATGCTTTTGGATTTTAAAGGACAAATTATATAGAAAACATTAAATATTAATCTAAAAGTAATTTAGGAATGCTTACTAGTATGTACACACACGTGCATGTGCATGCACACACACACACACACACACATCCAATTTTTAATTGATGGAATAAATGAATGAATGAAGCTATAGGAAAAAATTCAAGATCCAAGAAATGAAATACATGAATTTCTTATATTAACTAATTTACCTGTTAATGACATTCTATTTTAGTTTTGCTAATAATATTGTTCCTCTATTGGGACGGTCTTTGTGTAAAGTATAATCTGAAATGTAAATGAATATAAATATGACCAGTGCATTTACGATATTCAGCTCCCATCTGTGGGTTGGTAATGTTTTGTTTTACCTCAAATAGTGTAAAGGCTGGCATTTTGGAATTTAACAGCTTTGAATGAGAATCCTGAGGTTATGTCCTGCTGCAATACTACTTTGCTATGTGATCTTAAATAATTTCATTGGGAGGCAGATCAGTATAATGGAAAAATAAAACTTTAATTTATAGTTCTGGATTTATATTCAAAATATTTTGCTATTTTTAATGTAGGTGAACCAGGATACATTATGATCAATAACTCAAAAAAAGATAGTAAGTGCTATGAAGATAAATTAGAGAAAATTATTTGTAATTTATATATTATTTATGAATTAATATGAAATATATATTAATTTTTTAACCTGAATTAGATTTTGTTGCTTAGGGAAGAGACGGTTTAGAAAGATTATACAGTTTGAAATTTTATAAATAAGTTATCACAGGAATTTATTTTTTCATGAATAACTATTATAAAATCTTAGTTCTGAAATCATATTCAAAAGATAATCTAGTCTGTTCATCAAGGATCCATAGTTTTTTTTTTTTTTTACTACTCATCTTCAAAGCTCACTTTGGTATTTATATTATATTTTGATACTTAAATTGAATTTATTTCATCAAGGAGATAGAAGACAGTGAAAGGAATAAGCATAGTGATTTTGTTAGATTTGTTTGCTTTCAGTTCCTTTTGATCATTTGCCTTATTTCCTTACAATTAATTTTTAATTTCAAAATTTTCAGTAATGTGTATTATGTTCTTAATTTATAGCTAATATGTATAATRGGAATGGTATCACTCTCCTTTTTAGTAATAATCCATATCCAATTCTATGCTGCTTTATAATATAGTTACATGATATTTTGAGTTCTTATCTATTAGTTTTTCATTCTTTTATGACCCTTGATATCTGGGCAAAAGGTTTACTCTGTTGTGGAAAATTGTGTGTATGAGTCATGTACTCTTTTGTTATTTMAAGGCTTGAAAAGGGCCAGTATAGAAAAGTATGTGCATCAGTGATTGAGTCTTTCATTTTTAAAAATGTTAAAAACAAATTGTGAGGGCTGGGGATGTAACTCAGTGGTAGAACACTTGYCTCCTGTGCTTGAGGCCCTAGATTCAATCTCCAGTGCTCCAAAATAATTACATTAATAAATAATATAAAAGAAAGCAAGTTGGTAAGAACCTCAACATTTGGCTGAGGTTGTAGCCCAGTACTAGAGTGCTTGCTTATCATGTGTGAGGCACTGGGTTGGATCCTCAGCACCACACAAAAATAAGTAATTAAATAAAAGAAATAAATATAGTGTGTCCATCTACAACTAACAAGGTTTTTTTTTTTTTTTAAAGAATATAGATTCTTAACCATGCAAGGGTTTATAGAATTTTGTGTTTTATGCTTATATCATCAATTTATAAAAATAAAGATAAATGCAACCTTGAAGTAGATGTACCATCTTAGTTTTAGTCAATATTGAATTGTTCTAGATGGATGAGAATCACTTTGAAGTTTTTAMATCTTCCAGAGAAAATTCAACAACATACCCTTCTTTGCATAATAAATACATGATAGAACTTTGCAATATTGTCCAATTTTCACTTACTTTTTGGAGAAATTGAGTGAAGCTCTAAAATAAGTTAACTCTGCCTTCTCTGTTTCAAGCTGAAGCATTTTATTTTCCATGCATTTTACTAAGTAGTTTTTTTTTTTTTTTTAAGGTACTAGGAATTGAATCCATGGCCTCCTGCATGTGAGGCAAGCACTCTTTCACTGAATTACACCCTCACCCATTAAGAAGTCCTTTTTAATGAAACAGCCTACTGTTTCCATAAACCTTACCTTTCTTGACACAAGTGTACCATATCTATCAACTTTGATGACATTTTAGTAAATATAGGAGATTTATAAGTAAAATAATTTATTGAAAGGTAGTGATCTTGTTTTCTGGATCCTCTGAGGATGGGTATTATATGTGCAGGAGAATTTTTGTGGCTTTGAATTGCTTTGAATCCTACATATTATAGTTGTTACTCTATACATGGACTTAAGTGAGACTATTTGGGTTCAAATCCTGAGATTAATGTTGATTATTAAAGAATTTTTTAATTTTTTTGTACCTTAATTTTGACCATTACATAACTGGAATAGTAGTGAAAGAACTGTTTATACTAAGTGCAATAAAATATATAGATCACATACAGGAAGCACTAAATACATTCTGATTTTAATTATTATGATGACAGTGAGATAAGTGATCCTACAAGGTTCTATCTAAATACTGTAGGTTTAAATTTAAAATATTACTTATGGCCAATCCTTAAGAAATAAGTAGCTGTAATGTTCTTTTTTGTTTGTTTGTTTGTTTAATTTTTTTGGGTGCTGGGGATCAATCCCAGGGCCTTGTGCATGCAAGGCAAGCACTCTACCAACTGAGCTATATACCCAGCAGTGTAGTGCTCATTCTGAGTCTTCTTTCTAATGATGATACTGTTTACATTGAAGAATCACTTATTTTTTATTAAATAGGACTTGTATAACTGGTTTTAAACGATCCACATTTTCTAGATGTAATGGCTTAGAATTGAAGTATGTGTTAACTCAAGTGTGGAAGTCAACATAAAGTCATAGAAGCCTGGAAAGATTTTAGATGATTTCAACTTAATTGGTTATTGAACTTAGCTTCCCTGTAGAATTTAAATCTTCTTAAATAATATTATTTATTGCCTTTAAGTAAAAGTATATAGCCTTTATTATTTTTCAGAAACTAATTAGTAGATGAATGTTATTAAATTGAGTCAAATAACTTGTGGCAAAACAGTATTTTTTATGTGATCTAGTTTCATCAAGTAACTTAGGCCAAAGTATAGTACTGTTGTGACTTCATCCTATTTAGATTTAGTTTCGATCATCTTGATTAAATCTCCAAAATGTCCAAGGCTATTTGGATGTTTTGTCCTTCCTTAGGGACTAGTCTTGTTTTATATTGAAATAGTTAATTCCTCTCAATCCTCTTAGTATGGAGATCAATAAATTAAATGCCTTTTACTAAATATTTGATATTTATTTAATAATGAAAAGTCAAACAGATGATTAATAAATAATTGAAGAAACTTAATTTCAAATCTGAAATGACATTATATCTTTTATATTTTGTCTGGCAATGACTCAAAAAATTAAATAGTAATTTCATTTTCCTTTGAGTTGGGTGATTATATATATTGGTTGCAATAGCATATCCTTACCTAGGATAATTTTTATTTTAATAACATACATATTTACATTCTATAGGCAATATAAAACAAAACAAATTTTCAGCATGGTGTGCCATAGGGGAACTTTGCTTTGAAAAAAATATACAYTTTCTGGGACCAAGGAATAAATTGATTTTTGAATAAATTGATTTTGTATACTGACAGAAAGTCTTATTAGAGTGGTACAATGGGTAAGTGTACCGTTGACTCAAATCCTTTTCTGTTATACTCTCTAGTCAAGTTCTAGTAGTATATGACATTTATTGAGTACCTGCTATTATATTTGTTTCATTTCAAAGATAGTTTCATTACCAATTTAGTAAATGTTTAAAAAATGGCAAACAAATATTACTGTGTGATGTCAGCAGTGCATTGTTTCTGAAAATATGTAAATATAACTGAATAAATTATAGGGCAATAAAAATATTTTAAGTATTTTAATTGTGTTATCTAATTATGCTAATGACAAGGAAGAAATAAATTGAATAACTTTCTCAAAATCACAGATACTCAATATTTATAATGTAAAGTTTAATAAAGGATTGGACAGAATTCTCATCCTGAAAGACTGAAAGTATTTATGTCAATGATCCTGTTAAATTAAGGGTCCTCTTGTCATGTGAAAATTTATGACTCATTAATTTATATACAGAATTTAAATCATCATTCTCTTTCTTAAAACTATGT